CTGCCGCCGGCGCCTGCCCTGCCTGCTGGTGAAGCTGCGGATGGCCCAGAGCCTGCGCCACGCCGTCACCTTCGTGGAGCAGGGGCACGTCCGTGTGGGGCCCGAGGTGGTGACCGACCCCGCTCTCCTCATCCCCCGGGCCGTGGAGGACTTCATCACCTGGGTGGACGCCTCTCGCATCAGGCAGAAGGTGCTGGACTACAACGAGGAGCGCGACGACTTCGACCTGGCCGCTTAGGGATGCGCCGCCATCCCTGCCTCTGCCGCCCGCGCTCTCCTGCTCTGCCCCTTCGACACGCGTGGGAATAAACACCCACCGGTAAAACCTCGGCGGTGCCACCATCGGATATGTACACCCCCCCAAACGCACCTGAAAGGGGAGCGAGAAGGAAACGGACTCACTTCTAGCAACGTATCGCTCTGCTCCGAGCTCCCCTGCACAGCTAACGGCCGCCTTCATCCGCGCGGAGAAACTTCCCTGCCACGTCCATCGCTCCGAGGAAACGTCCGATAGCCCAGCTCCACCGTACCTACATCCCGTAAAGCCAGAGTGCTTCGAAAGGTCTCTGCCTGGTCGCAAGAGAGGATGCGATCGGGTTTAAGTGCTAATAATAGCTGCTGGAAGGGGTTTTGCGCCTGGACGAGCGGCTGTTTTAGGACTGAGTTTGGCAGCTTCGCTGCCGCTTTTCTGAGAGGTTGCCCTGCCGATTCCTCCTTCAGCTGATGGGCGCGCAGTAACCGGAGGAGCTGCTTCGGGCAGGGTTTTCTCTTGATACCAAGGAACGCATATATGGGGGAAATGCAGGGGTTGATCAGGGTCAGCACTAAACGAGGAAGCCAAGTACTGCATTTCTGGAACTGTAAAAATTTTAGCCAGAAACGGAATTAAAAAAAAAAAAAAAAAAGAATGACTTTATTTTCATGTGAAGTCGTAAAGGGAAGTTTGATACTCTGAGTTCGGTACCTTTGCTGTGTGGGGCTCCAGCTGGCAATTAGGCATCATTTACGGAGCAGGCGTTGGAGCAAAAGCTGTCCTAACCATAACTGCAGATCTCGGGGGAACTTTGGCATTTAGCACATAAGCCGAAGAAAAATCGGCACCTGAGGGGAGACTCAGGCCTTCTGGAGCTGTTGGGAACTTTATTCCCCTTTGAAATAAAGAGCAGAAAAGCAAAAATAAAACAGTTGTTTTAAGTTACTGAAGAGGTGTGTGTCCTATTTTATGATGTAGTTTCTCTGAGAGTTTCTTCTGATTTTTAAATACTCCAGGCAGCCCTGTTTGTCATCTTGCAGGACTTCTTTTACGTAACTTTTTTTATATAACCTTTTTTTTTTTGGTAGCTACAAGGCTGTTACTGAGTTTTAAAGTGGTTTTTGCTAGGAATGCTTCCTTCCCTTTATCCAGAGCTACGAAAGGATTTGGCAGCGGGTTTAAGAGCAGAGCTGTGACTGCTCATCCCAAGCCCAAAGGGCTGGAGTTCAGCCGCAGCCGCCGCTCTGGGTCTGGATGTTTTAGTGCGGCTTTTCTGAACAGGAAAGGTGTTTAGGTGAGGTGTGTTCTGAGGTTATCGAATCAGGACCAGAAACTGTCATCAAATATTATGGCTGTTTTTTAAAATGCAAACTAAATATTAAAATTCCTACCAGTCTCATAAGCTAAATGGGTTAAGCAGAGCATTAACTTTTAAAGCAATAATAGATATTAAGAAAAGGACACAGAAGAGGTGGGGAAACCCCTTTGCTTATCCTATGAACTACTCCTGTTTATACTTGAATTTCTTTCAGTAAAACATCACCTGTAACACCTTAAAAACCTTTTTCTTGGGGCATGCACTTTGCTTATGGTAAGAAATACAAATTGAAAAGACATTTTACACCTGAAACGTGACATTTTTTAAACACCTTTCCAGCTTTCATCTAGAACTATGTCATTAATTCTTGGGAAATTCAGAAGATGCCTGATTCAGGCACAGGTAAAAATGCTGCATTTGCTCTGCTTTGCTCTTTTGGGGGAATTTAAATAACAGCACAGTGATATGCCCTGTGCAGGGCATTTTACTGCTCTGATGCTAAACTGCTGCTCTGCCCAGTTTGTCCAGCCCTTGAAGGAACAGCAGAAAAGGAAATTTTGAATCTCCAGCCTGTTAGTCTCTGTAGTTTACATCATCAACCTGTTCTTTTTGTCCTAAACCAACTTTTCATCGTTCATCTCTGCACCTCCAGCATCTGTAGCAGAAGAAACCCAAAACCCTGTAGGCTGTTAAATTAAGCAGTGGGAATTGATTTCCCTACAGATACTGTGGGAGAACAGCATCCATCACCCCTGCTCTCCTGCGGTATTGGAAATCAAATTCTTACATTCTTTTTAAGAAATGCATATGTCTGTGTGTGTCTTTGAGTCTGGAATTCTGCAGCCCTGCTGGTTGTACAGTAGCTGAGACCTGAGATGAGTCTCCTGCTCCTAAATGCGTGGAGTCCACGCACGCCTGGGCCAAGAGCTGGGTCCGCTTCAAGTGCGATAAACAGGGTGTCATCTCAGTCTGAAAATGGAAGTTACATCTGACAGCAGCACGCCCACGTTCTTGCTCGCGAATGGCTTCCTCGTGTTTAAGGGTGTTTTTGCCTTTAGTTCGTGGGTTTGAGTTTGTTTGCCAGAGCTGACGTGCTGCGGCCGGGCAGTTCCCGGCTGGAGCTGGGGATTGAAAGGGCGCAGGAAGCGGCTCCGACAGCCTTTCCCGGCACTTGGATAAACACGGAGGCTTTTTTTAAATCCCAAGGCTGCATCCAACATCAGTATAAATCAGTGCTGGCTTCCATGGGTCTGTGCGAGCTGGCACAAGGAGGTAATCCGGCATTGGGCTTTTTTGGGCCGGATCCTGCAAACTCTCCCCTCCAGCGCTCCAGGGGCTTGCAGCAGGAGAGTTATGCACATGAGTGTGGCAGGACAGGGTCGCGAGTGTCACTGTGCTTCTTCCTAACACCTTCTGAAGTGGGTTTGCTGTTCCTCAGGCTGCTCAGCATCTCCCGTGAAGCTTGTGGGAAGTTAGGGGTGGAGGAGGACAAAGGATGGTGGTGCTGGTGTCGGGATGAGCTGTCCCCACGCTTGACAAAACCTCATCTCTGCCACCTCCACGCGTGTCCATCCCAGCAACGGGGCGCTTCTCCAGCAAGGGAGGAAGGGGCTGCAGGGGGCTCTGGGCAGGGCAAGAGCCGTCAGAGCAAACACCAAGCAGTTCCCATACAGGAGCTCTCACTTGGATAGCGGCCAGCGGTAAGGGAGGTTTTACCAGCGCCTGTGGTTTTAGGCTTTTTTTCTTTCCTTGCAATTTTTTTTTCTCTTTTTTTCCCCCTGACCTTGGCTTGTCCTGTATTCGAAGGCTGCCAAAGCGGGGGAGCTGAGCTTGGGGAATGTGAGGGAGCTGAAGGAGAGAGTCCTTCACACTGACGCCTTTTGTGTTGCAGGGAGCAAATGGCTGAGGCCGTCACCAAAATGCAAACGTGTATTTTTCCACTGATCTGAGCCGCTTTTTTCTTTCCAGTAAACAAGCATACTGCACGTTTTAAAGGCTGCTTCCATCTGACATCTTGGTGTGGCTTAGTGCAGAAGTGATGCTGATCTCAGTAATTCGGTGATAGCACATCCCCATGAGCACAGGCAGCACGCGAGGCTGGGGAAGGCCAGTACATCCCCCTTCTCAAGGTGGAGCTGGGTGATCCCAGCCTTTCGGGTGATGCTCCTGCATCCTGGGTTAGGCCAGGGTCTCCCAGCCACGTCTCAGGGCACTTCCACGTGTTCGTCTCAGTAGCACTCCCCAGTGAGATATTCCCCAGCAGATGGAGGTGTCACTGTCCCCTTCTTGAGATCTGAGTAATCTGTTTTAAGTACATCCCCTGCCTGATTTGGCACTGGAGATTGAACCAGAGAGCCATTTCTCATCACCAGGGGATGGGATCACCTTAGTCCCTACCCCAGATATCAAAACATTTCAACATTCACTGGGTCTGGGGAAAAAAGCACTCCTAAGCGTTATGACAGCATTTACCTGAGAGCCCCAGTTCTGGTCCCTGCTCTTAAATACCCCGTTTTAGGCATTGAAGCAACTCTTCTCACCCTTTGGTTGCTGGTTTGGGCCTGAAGCAGGACCTGGGTGGTGGAAAACCTGTCTGCTGTGTGGTTGGGACATGGGGATGTCAGGTGGAAGCAGCAGGCAGCAGCTTTGGAGTCAGCAGGAGGAGGCACTTGGGTTCAGTCATCCCATAAACTGTGGAGCTCCTGGATCCAAGGGCTAAATCAAAATTTACCTCCCCCTGCGGGAACGTCCCTTCTCACTTCTCTGCAAGCATGACTCCACTGCAGAAAGGTCCCTTCCCGCCTAATATTAGCTGATTTTGAAGAGAGAAAGTGTTTCACTTCCAGCAGGCAGAGAAAAAGGAGAGGCCGATCACTAATGACAGCCAGAGATGGAGATTTGAGCATCTCCAGTTTCCTCCTAGAGCTGCCCGTTAGAGGATCCGGCGTGTCCCCAGCAGTAAGTGAGAGCAGCTTCTCGGCTGCTGTAAATCATGTCAGCGGGGTTGGCAAGTGCAAACCCGGATGGCATTGCTGCCCTCGGTTCCTACCCTGAAAAGCCACCATCTCCTGCTCCCGGAGAGGCTCCGATGGCTGTGTCATGGGGTAAAGTACAGGCAGGCTCTCCCGGCAGGTTCATCTGGCTAATGTTACAGTCCACCACCGTGTCACCTATATCTGAGCTCATCGGGCTTCAAACACACCAGGGGAAAACACATCCTAAAACTGTCATCTCTCTCCCCACCGGCTCTAACAGCAGCCAGGGCGCAGGGTCCCGTGCAGGCACCCACCTTGTAGATGCTAGGTTTGGGAGAGAGAAATGCCGTGATGGCAGAGCACCCAAAACCTCCCACTCTGTGTCCCTCTCAGCCACCCAGAAGAATTTAGGTCGGGAAGGACTGCTGGAGGTCACCTAGTCCAAACCCCTGCTCAAAGCAGGGCACGCATGGGACTGCCTCAGTTTTGCATGTCTCAGTGCTGGACGCCTGAAGCAGAGTTTAATCGCCCTTGCTGTGAATTTTTTTTTCCCCTTCCATCTCATCTGAGTTTCCCTTGCTGTAGCCTGGGACTGCAGCTTCCCATCCCCACGCTAGACACGTCCGTGTCAGGAGGTGGGTGACTTTTCCCTGTGGGAAAACTCCATTCACCTTTTCCCTGAACGCTGGCCG